GGTCAACCGAAGTTGATCTCTTTAAGTTGTTTAGGCAAACCAGAAATGGGTTTTCTGAGGTAGGGAGAGAGTTGTCGGTACTGACCGAAAAATTTAAACATTATGAAAATATATTTAAATCTTTTAAATGCTTAGATACCGTACAATCTATGAAGGACATTCATGTGTCAAAACGTAAGCGTCTTCATAGTCCGCCTAATGAAAGGACCGTTCCACGTCAGAACAATCTTCCGAATGACTTAATTAATCTTTCTTCTCCATGTCCACAGACAACGGAGTTATCTTCCTCAAAAGAACACATATCAAAGTCTGCTTCTAATAATAACGACCCTGCAGTATCTTCCCCGTCCCCCGTTGAAGTTGTGGCACCGCCATCTAATCTTCCAACGCTTACTCTACCCTCAATTAGTAACTCAGTTACTCAACCCCGTCCGCCGGTAATCGAGTCTGATACTAGGAGACTGGTTGTGGTTCCCCCAAAGAAGTCTATATTTGTATCTAGATTTTCGAGGGATACTTCCGAGGACGATATAAAGTTTTACATCTCGTCCAAAGTTAAAACTGTCAACTTAAGTATCAGAAAATTTAATTTTAAATATGAAAGAAATATTACTTCTTATTTTGGCCCTCCGGAGCTTTCGTTCGTGAATTTGAGTATAGGCCCAACAAAAATAATAATTTAGCAAATATTCCCCGTCAGAATAGTGAACCAAAAAACTGATTACTAAATCTGCTTTAAGTATTTATTATCAAAACGTAAGAGGCATAAATACTAAATTAACGAATTTATATCTTAATGGCCTTGAATGCAATTATAATATAATTTCTTTGACTGAAACTTGGCTCAAACCTCACACTTTTAATTCAGAGATTCTTTCAAATAATTATCATATCTACAGAAAAGATCGGGAGGACAGAGTCGGCGGTGGCGTACTCTTTGCCGTAGACTCTTCAATACCACCTGAAGAAGTTAGTCTTCCACACATTGAATCTGCAGAATTCAAATGCATTCGTGTTCAGGTTGGAAGGGGGTTTACTTACTTAGCTCTATGCTATATTCCTCCCCGATCTGACTTATCAGTGTATTCACAACATGTATCTTTACTGAAATCAATTAATTCAATGATTAAACCCTCTGATTCATTGATTGTGTTGGGTGACTTTAATTTACCAAATGTATCATGGAACATCATTGACAATGATATTGTACCTTTCTCGTCTAGCGCGTGCAACAACGTATTTTTAGAGGAGATGGCTGAACTCTGCCTGAATCAAGTTAATGTACTTCGCAATAAGTTTGGCAAAGTATTAGATCTTGTTTATGTTGATGATGCATCTAAGTCGGCTGTAAATAAATGTGACCCACTAGTTTTGCCCGAAGATGTCTACCACCCTGCTATTGAGATATCTTACGAAATTATAAACGATGGTCAAAATTGCGATGTCCAAACATACGAACCAAATATTCGCTTTGATTTTTCGAAAGCCAACTTTAAAAAACTGAATAAAGAATTGTCTAAATTGTCGTGGCCTATATACAAAGAAAAAGTTGAGCAAAGCGTTGCACATTTTAATTGTACTGTACATAGATTATTTGAAAAGTATGTGCCTCAACGCATGTGTGTTCCTGAAGAACAAACACAGTTATGGTTCACTAAAGAACTGAGAAACTTGAAAAACAGAAAGTCACGTTATTTTAGATTACACAAAAAAACCGGCTTACACTCATACTATGTAAAATACTCACTTTTGCGTCACAAGTTCTTTGAATTAAACAAAAAGTGTTATAAAGATTACTTGTGTAAAATCAAACGACGTATAATATATAACCCCAAATCATTTTATGATTTCGTAAACTCCAAGCGAAATGTACGTGGGTTTCCTTCCTCCATGAAGTATCAAAATACCGTCTCTGGTGATAATCAAACAATTTCTAACATGTTCGCTCAGTTTTTTAAATCCAATTATTCCACTAACTCCCAAGCATACTTTGACTATTCTTTTAAACTAAGTCCAATTAACTCAATACATAACCCTATAATATCTCCCGATGATGTTTTAGTTTACCTGAAGTCCTTAAAGCAGTCTTTTAGTTATGGTCCTGACCAGATCCCCACTTGTTTTCTTAGAAATTGTGCTGATTATCTCTATGAGCCGTTAACAGCCTTATTTAATTTGTCTCTTAAAGAGGGCGTTTTTCCAACTGTATGGAAGGAATCGTTCATAACCCCCTTACATAAAAGCGGTAGCAGGTCTTCAGTGGAGAACTACCGGGGCATAGCTAAGCTCTCTGCAATTCCTAAATTATTTGAAGCAATTATAACAAATCGGTTGACGCATTCTATCACTTCAAGCATTTCATATAGTCAACATGGATTTTGCAAGGGCAAATCAACTTCTACAAATTTACTTGAATTAACATCCTATATCTCAAAAGCATTTAGTGAGAGCAAAACTGTTGATGTTATATATACTGATTTCAGTAAAGCATTTGACAAAGTGTGCCACTCGTTGCTCATCTATAAACTTGATCTTCTTGGTCTTCCACCTAATTTTCTACGTTGGATCTCTTCATACCTCTATGATAGATCACAAAGGGTATTGTTTAAAAATACTATCTTTGACGTCATTGATGTTACTTCAGGAGTCCCTCAGGGTAGCCACCTAGGCCCGATTCTGTTCTTGCTTTTTATAAACGAGATTTCTACAGATATAAAATTCTCCAAAATTTTAATGTATGCAGATGATGTAAAACTTTATAAATCGTACGTTTCCATTGAAGAAAGGTCTTTGCTACAATCAGACTTAAACAGCATGGCTTACTGGTGTAAAGTAAATCTTATGCCTCTAAATCTTAAGAAATGTAAAGTAATGTGCTTCTCGCGAAGAGCTGTTCTGCCAGTTTCTTATATAATAGGTAACCATAATCTGGAACAGGTATACAATTTTGTGGACCTTGGTATCACAATGGATCCTAAGCTTAATTTTAATCTTCACATTAATGTGACAGTCAACAAGGCTAAAGGTGTACTTGCATTTGTGAAACGATGGTCAAAAGAATTTAGTGACCCTTATATCACTAAAACCCTGTTTACAACATTAGTTAGGCCGATTCTGGAATACGGCTCGGTGGTTTGGAATCCAAGGTATCAAATTTACTCAGACAAGATAGAATCAATTCAAAAACAATTCCTACTTTTTGCTTTAAGAAATTTCCGATGGGATTCTCAATATAGTCTTCCACCTTATACGAGTCGCTTAAAACTTATTAACCTTCCTACGCTTGCCAGTCGCAGGGAAATGCTTGGTATAATTTTTATGGTTAAATTACTGACAGGCTCAATTTCAAGTCCGTCTCTTCTGGCTGATGTAAGCTTTAATGTTCCCTTACGCGTATCAAGACACTTTTGTCCCATATTTCTGAAAGCTTGTAAAACCAATTTTGAATTGCACGACCCACTCCGTTGCATATGCCAGGATTTTAACTCTCATTCCAGCACGTTTGATATATCAGATCCGCCTTTCAGCATTAAGAAAGCGATACTTTCCTCTCTCAATAAGTGAATTATTGACATAAATACATAAAATCAGCTGATGAATTTAGTTCTGTAGCTGAACAGTTTTAGATCTCGACACTTAACAAACTCCTGCCTATCGTGTCTCGGCGCAAAAATTTAAAATATTGGTTCCGTACGTCATGCGGACTGCGCCCCTCGTGCGGATGGGCGGGAATGGAGGGTAAAAACCGTTGGGATATTATTATTATTAAAAAGAAATATATATATTTTCTTCATTTAATGTTTAGAAACTTATATCCTTTTCTTCCTTTTTAATTACTGTTTTGTTTTGTTTTCTAGCTTAATTAATATGTAATACTTTAAAACTTGTTTTTTCTTTTCTTTAGTAAAATTCTTTTAATTTAATTATCTTTTAATTTTTAAATTTTATTGTTTTAAAAAGTAAAAAATATATTTGATTTATTTTAACGGAACTTTTGGTTTTATCAATTTTTTCATTCTTTTAAGATTACATTATTTTAAAAAGAAATACTTTTTTTTATTCACTTTTATTCCTACAAAATACATACTAAAGAGAAGAATATTTTTTTAAATTCACTTAATTTTCAGAAGCCTATTTTAGTTTTTTTTTAATTCAAATTTTTTGAATTTATTGTTTTAAAAAGAAACATCTTTTCCATTTCACTACATTTTTAGAAACTTATTTTATCAATTTTTTCATTTTTTGTTTTCTTTTGTTTATTTTGTTTATTTTTTATCTTTCTAATAAAATTTTCTTTTAATTTTTAGTTTTTATTGCGCCAAAAAGAAAAACATTCTTTAATGTAATTTAATTTTAAAGAGCTTATTTTTTCCTATTTTAATACAAATTTCTTTTAATTTTTTGATTACATTACTTTAAAAAGAAAAATTTTTATTTATTCAGTTCATTTTAGAATACATTATTTTAAAAAGAAAAAATATTTGATCAAATTTATTTTTGGTTTTATTGTTTCAAAAAGAAAAATATATATATATATATCTTAATTTAATTTTTAGAAATACCCATGGCTAAAAGACAACTAGTCTTTCGAAAGACGAAAAGACCTTTTATACTAGTTGCCAGAGTTGCCAATTGTCTTACGAAAGACTTTTATCTTTAGAAAGAATGTAATGACTTGAAAGAAGTGAGGCACAACTCAAATAAATTTAGGTAGATTTGTTTTTTGTATAAATAAATTTTTAGAGTTATGAGTATCTTCAGTTAATGCAAATATTACTTTCTTCATGATTATATTTTCTAACTATAAAAAATACTGTTACACCTGTTTTTGTACCGATTGTGTTGAGTCTGTACGATCCACAAGCACTTATATTTCTGGATCTAATTTTTGTTGTTGTGCCTCTTTTGAATGGGATGTGCCACGTTATTTACCAAAGTTACTCATACGCCGCGTTGTTCAAAAATTTATGTAAAAATTTCATTTTATGATTTTTTTTCAGATTATTGCTGCCTCTCCTCTTCAAAACGGTTCATGAAGTAAACGATCATATCGAAAATACAAATACATATTTGGCATTATAAGGTATGTATGGGAGATTCCACAGCCATTTGATATATCGAAATTATTTTTAGCCCATAAACATACTTGAAAAGTCTGCAGAAGGTTCAAAAAATCCAACTTTTTGTGTTCAGAGGATGCACGCAGGGAGAAACATAGTTGTGGAGTAACTCCTTCAGACTCTCACTAATCATGAGCGCCGGTATCAGGGCTATGCTGATTACATAGTGATTATCACTGCAAGGAAGTGTGTGAGTACCCTCTGTGACAATGGAAACTAAACTTAGTAAGAGGTTGGTGTGTGGGATTAGGTCTGAACATCAACCCTCCTAAAATAGTTACCGTCGCCTTTTCTAAGGAGAGAACACTTCCATGTATGAGGAACATTACTTTAAACGGGGTCGGCGTCGCCACTGAAGTTAAGTACCTGGGTTTTATCCTAGATTCTAAATTTCTGTGGAAGGCACATGTTGATGCGATCACTGCCGAAGCCACGAGGGCACAAATAGTGTGCAAATATCTAGCAGGTAAGGCTTTGTGCTACAGTCCTAAGATCCTGAGATGGATGTCTACCATAATATCCGTACTAAGCTTCAACTTCTGGCGTATGAATGCATCAAGGGGGCATTGTGCACATGTCCGACGGCAGCACTGGAGGTGGTTCTCGAGCTTGAACCGCTTCATCTTAAATACCACAGAACAGTCAGCAAAATGTAATCTACTATACTTCATAAGAAAAGGTTTTGGTACAGGCCAAATCTTATCACCGAAGAACACGGGAAGCTAGGCTCCCAGATTCCAAATCAGTAGTTTTTGACAGAGAATTCAAGGTAGAGCTATGCAGTAGGGCAACTTGGAGTACCTGCTTTAATAGCCAGGCGGCACCAAAGGCTCTGTCACCGCTTCAGGTCAAATCCCCCTTGGTCCTTGAGTGCATCGACATCTTGTCTCGTAGGGCTTGAGCCCTTCTTTGCGAACGGGAGGCTACAACCTTACAAGGTACAGGGCAATTATAAACCATATAGCCAAAGAGAGACTAAGAATATTAACAATTATTCTAACGGTCACCGGAATGGTCACCAAAGAGGACCAAAAATCTAATATGTTTTCATAGTAACAATCCAACCGATTTATATTAAACCGCATTGTGCTCTCAAAATTTGGTCATCGGTTTTTTGTAGTTTGATACAAAAGAGTTATATCTCGGACCATTAATTTATTGAGAGCGGACTTCCAAGAAAACTGAGCTGTTTATAGTTGCGATAAAATTGACACCTAAATTCTATAAGCAAATTGGTACGAAAATTTTTGCAATGCAGTGTACTGTGCACGTTATCCATTGCCAGCCACCAGCAACAGAGAAAACCGCAAAAATGTTTCATCACAACTGCACTGGACACTTTGATGTAAAAGCTACCACAAGAGCGACGGGAGACATGAGCAAAAGCTACTGGCAGCACTAGATTTTGTCCACGCTGTTATGTTTCCAATGTCCAGCAAACTAGCGACTAAGCTATCATTCATTCAAAGAAGCGTCGACAACACAAATACCAAGTAAATCATACTACCGCTGTCAGTTTTGACGTAAGCGTCAACATCAGCGACAGCGGCAGCGGCAGCGTTATTATTAACGTCGACGTTGGCCTCAATGGCAGTTGCAGCCCAGAAGGAAGGAAAGCTTGCAGCGTCGGCTGAACGAATGCGGCCGTTGTCCGAAATGTGTCATTCCATTTTGTAGTTGGAAGTACTACTTGTCCGTAGCATAATAACTTTCTTTGTGGGTGCGCATGAGTGGGTGGGTGTGGTGTGGTGTGTGTGAGCTATAAAATGAGTGAATGAGTGAATGGTGCTGGTGGACTTATTGAGTGTTGCGAAGGCGAGCAGGAGGTGTGCTCTATAAAACGATCTGATTTTGAAGCTAAACAGTGTCACCATCACACCACGAGTAAAGAAACCGGTTGCGGGATGTGCGTGTGTTTTCGCGCGCCGAAGCTTTTAAAAGATAGCAGTCGCCTTACAAATTACTGCATACTAACTAAGCTCACTTCGGTTGCACTAATTCAGTGTTTTCCATTCAACTGCAACATATCGAGGACACTGACAAATCCCTCAAACGTTGCGCTGTGTCACCTTTTTTTTATACCCGAGCGCACTTGTGCACAAGGGTATTATAACTTTGTTCACATAACGGTTGTTTGTAACAGGCAAAACGAATCGAGATAGATATAGACAAATGTATACATAAATGATCAGAATGAAAAGAGAAATCGATTAAGCGGTGACTGTCTGTCCGTCCGTCCGTCCGTCCGTCCGTCCGTCCGTCCGTCTGTGCACACGATAACTCGAGTAAAAATTGAGATATCATAACGAAACTTCGTACATGCACTTCTATTGGGCGTGGGACGGATGGTATTGAAAATGGGCGAAATCGGACAATAACCACGCCTACCTCCCATATAACGGTAATTTTCAGAAATACGAAAACTGCGATATTTTAGTAACTACTGAAGATAATTCACTCAAAATTGACATTTAGAATAACTTTTAGACGAGAAATAAGAACATTAAAAATTTTTGAAAAATGGGCGTAGCCACGCCCACTTATAGTTACATGTGTATATTTTGGAAACCGCTGCACCAATTTCTTCCAAACTTGGCACAGTTGTTGACCCTGGTACAGCATACCAAATGGCCGAAAATGTTTAAAATCGGACAATAACCACGCCCACATCCCATATAACGGTAATTTCGAGAAATACGAAATCCTCGATAAATCAGTAAATATTAAAGCTAATTTATTCAAAATTGACGGTTGCAACAATTTTTTATCAGGAAATACGCTTATGATAAAATTTTGGAAAATGGGCGTGGCACCGCCCACTTATGATCACATTTATGTATATCGGTAACAGTTCTAGCAATTTGTACCAAACTCGGTATGATTATTGTGCTTGCCACATAAAAGCAAACCGTTGAAAATTATTGAAATCGGACTAAAATTACGGCCGCTTTTCATATAACGGTAAATTTCAGAAATGCTTGAAATTTCAATATTTCGAAATTTAAGGATGCTAGTTTACTTAATATTTATACACCCGCTTATCATGTAGCGGTAGCTTTCGGAAAGGTGGAAAACATATATTTAATACTTGCGCCGGGTATTTAATGTTCGGCTCCGCCCGAACTTAGACTTTCTTACTTGTTTTGCTTTAATCTACTTACATACATGGTGCTTTATCGCTTGCTGGTTTTCATTGCACCTGCATTCATTGCTCATTGAATTGAATGGGCGAGCAACTGAATGCCGGTCGACATGCCCATCCTCTTTGCCATCAAACTGTGTACTTATTACTCGGTACGGGCTTGAGTGTTCCTGTTAGACACGTGACTGTTTTTACAACTCACTTTGTTTGCTGTTGTTATTGTTGTGGTTGTGGCTGTTGCATATTCCTTATACTCCTTTTAATGTTGTACCCACTATTTGCGGCTTTGCCCCCATTTTCATGTTTTCCAAGCGCAAATACACACATTTGCTAATACTCCTTTTTGTGGTCTGTTTTGCTGGTATTTTACGAGTTGTATTGGCGACAACTCATTGCTTTTTGGTCTTCTTGAAATAAGAACAGAGCCCATGTTAGCGTACGAATTGTTTTGCGATATATCTATGTCATCTGTATATGTTTCGGCTCGCATGTGACAAGAGAGTGCAGAGAGGTAGAGCGCCAGGAGCTACAGTGCCGGTCACAAAAATCTACAAATAATAGGCTAGGTTAGGTTGCTGTGACCTCAGTGACTATTCTGCATAGAACTATGTTGAAGTTCTTATAAATAGTAGGATTTGTTTCTGTTCCTACACCGGATAGTTCCGTAAGAGAGCTAAAAAGTGTCTACCTAGAAAGCCCGCTCTGCTCTTGCCTAAAACTAGATAGCTACAGAAGCAGTACTCTACAGTTTCTTCTTCTTCCTGATATCTGCAATTGCTGCAATATTCATGGCAGAATAAATATTCCTAATCTCGAAGCGTGCCTACCAAATAGCCAATGACCGGTTGCACAAACCATGAAACATAGAAATGTACACAGCTACCTCTTTTATAGCTAGAACTTCTGACTGATAAACGCTGCAGCGGCCCGAAATTCGGACGGATAATTCCGGTCCTGATTCGTTAGAAAAAAGTCCGTAGCCCACAGTGTTGTCTAGGCCATTAAAAGCTACCTATTGTATTTCCTTGGACCACCATAAATTTACTATGGACACTTGGGAACTGTGACGACTTTTCAGCTGCACACTGGATTTGAGCCCACCTATCTACCTGGAGGTAGCTTCCCACTACTTTCATCAACTGCATCAGTATCTTGAATCGTCGCTTCAATTATGTATGTGAACACAACTGACCCCTGGATTTGCCTGGTCTAAACCCATGAGATCTGCTTCTGATATTGCAGGCTTATTATTATTTGTTTAGGTCGTTATTCTCAAGGTCTGCTTTTAACTTTCCAAACAAAAATGCAACATTTTCTTCATAAAAAAAAAATAAATTATCTATCTTTCTACTTAATTAAGCTAAGTACTTACCTTTATAATCAGTGCAAACCCCCTAAAAAATAAATTAAAAATTCCAACTAGCAACCGCATGCGCAGTTGCTGCAATCACTTGCTGTTCACCTCTTAAGCTTAAAATTTACGAGTATTTAGTATGTAAGTAAGTGCAGTAAACTTTGTGCACTGAAGCAACTCACCCTTTTTGTTCAAGTATATATATGAAAGAAGACAAGAATGTGTTATCCTTTTATTTGTGTTGCTCCCCTTTTCGTTATTATAGAATATTTCTTAATATTGAAAGTAATGCTTTTGCTTTGTGAAATTCTTGCATCTTCTAAATCTATGATCATAAGAACTTACATACATATATGTATGTATGTGTGTATTTCTCTCGCATTCTTGATAAACGTAAATATGTACCTGCAATCAGGTGTAACTTTTTTTTTATTTTTACCACTTTTCTTAAGCAGGGATTTATTTTA